GGGGGCCCAGGTACTCTCTACTTCTGCTTTTTCTTTTTTCTAAACAGAGTCTAATGCATCATAGGCACCCAACTGTTATTAACAGCAGTGATAATGAAATTGCCAAAGCAAACAAAAATTCATCCCTTCACTCTGTGTAGTTCATCTTTTCCACTTTATTTGATCAAATAATCTTACTAGTCTGTTTCACTTTATTTTCAAAGAAACTTTCTATTTGGTTTTCGGTTCCCAAGTGCCATGTAGTATTGTTTGGATTCCCAAACAAGAAAGTATAAGTAGGACCAGTTATTATTTGATTTAAAGATATAAAAATAAAAGAAATTCATTATTGATACATATAAAATACTTCAAGTTCTTGTGCTTTTTTAATAAACTAGATACTTGTTGTTGTTGTCATTTAGTCTCTCAGTCGTGTCTGACTCTTTGCGACCCCACGCACCTTAGCCCACCAGGCTTCTCTGTCCCTGGAATTTTCCAGGCAAGAATACTGGAGTGGGTTGCCATTTCCTTCTCTGGGAAGTCTTCTCAACCCAGGGATCAAACCTGAGTTTTGTGCCACCTGGGAAGCCACAAGTACTTTTAGGAAGGTTCAGTTCAGTTCAGTCACTCAGTCATGTCCAACTCTTTGCGACCCCATGAATCACAGCACGCCAGGCCTCCCTGTCCATCCAACTCCCGGAGTCTACCCAAATCCATGTCCTTCGAGTCAGTGATGCCATCCAGCCATCTCATCCTGTCATCCGCTTCTCCTCCTGCCCCCAATCCCTCCCAGCATCAGGGTCTTTTTCAATGAGTCAACTCTTTGCATGAGGTGGCCAAAATATTGGAATTTCAGCTTCAGCATTTAGGAAGGTACATTATCTCCTTTAGGCCTAATTATTAAACCTACCTTACAAATAAGGAAACCAAAGTTCACTGAAGGGAATTGTGTAGACCTGGCATCTTAACCAAGGTCTCCTGACTTCAAAGCTTGCCCCAGTGATTCTCAAAGTGTAGTTCCTAAGTCTCCTAAAGTATGTTTAAATATTCCAACTCTCAGATACTACCTGCAGGAGACTCTTATTCAAATAAGCTTGACATACAATCTCAGGACTTCAGTTTGAGAAATTAACTCTCCCATTTATATTTTGAGTTTGAAGTTAAAACCAACAAATTTTACTGTAAGACAATTTGAGAATATTTAGCCCCTAACCTGATGAGCCCTGTAACATTTTGGTTAAATATTAACTTCAAAGACATCATGCTATTGGAGGAGAATGTGTTATTGCCACTTTCCAAGCCTGAGACAGTCATAGTGCCTGCAGTCATTATAGCTCTATTGCATTTTAAAAATAATATAGTATAATTACAAAATACATGCCTGTTTTTTCTACTGACATTTTAATATGCACTAATAAGGGCCTAGAATAACCCAAATATATAATATGATACTTTCATCTGTGGACTTAGGTAAGTCAAGAGTAGCTACTGTTAAGATTAGGGTTATTGCATAAGAGGAGAGCTGAAAGAACATGGGAGGTTGTAAAACCACTCCTGAAGAAGCATTTTGCCATTAGAGAAAGAGGGACCAAGAAAGTAATTATGTGGGAGGCCAATGATGAATGAATGAGCCTGAGGACAGGAGAGACAGAAAAGAACATGCAATGTTAATCTGTGTCTTCTGGCTCATATTAAAGGCTCAATAATTGGAAGTTGAATGAATAAATGAACAAATGAATCATGGCAAATTTTAAAATGAAAAGTCAAAGAAAAGGAAAGAAAGCAAAAAGATTGAGTAACTAAAAGGATGAGAAGTAGGAATCATGGAGAGGGTGAAGAAAATTGATGATCATGGACAAAGGAGTTAACCCTGAATAGACACAAAGAAGGAAGAAGAAGAAAAGTCCTGGCAGGAATGCTTCCATTTGGGTTCTCCATGGACAGAAGGTATTTCTGTCCTCTAGCAGTTCTTTGTAATAGTGCTTTGCATATGAAAATCTTTTTAAGCTAACGAGTCCTTAATTAGGGCTTTTATTATCCTTTAATTCCATGCTTAAAGAAAAATGATTGCAAAACTCATCTTTATGATTTAGGAAACTAATCTTTCATTTTTGAGGTGTTTCTTTCCCTTTTCACTGATATTACAAGAAGAGAAACAAAACCCACAGAATAATGCAAAACTTTTCAGTAGTAATGAACCCACATATTAGAATTGTCATGAACTACAGAAGTGTTCTGTATTGGTTTTGACCTCTTCTGTGGTTCTTAATTCAACAAGGACCTATGGGGGCCAAGTATAAGATTCTACTATCTCCTGCAAGCCTAGATTCTTATGCATGTGTCCTTAAATTTTTAATTACAGGGATGTGTGTGCACCGGGCTCTCATTCTAGTAAGAAGAGCCTTGTTCTTCTATACCCACACTAGAGCATCTGCTTTCGTCTGATGGAGGATCATTTTCCACTCGTCCTTTGGGGTCATAAATCAGAACATGTTACCCTTTGGCCCCCCTGTAATCTAGCAGTATTTTCTAGATAAAATCAAGTTGAAATAAAAATTGAAGAGTAGTTTGTCAAAAAAGAAAGTAATCCAAAGCACAATCTTTACTTAATTAGTAAAAAAAAAAAAAAAACAATGTTTTGAATATTGCCAACTTGCCTTTGGTTCCGTAAAAACATAATTATCATCTACAAGATGTCAGCTGGGCTTCTGTAGTGGCTCAGTAGTAAAGAATCTGCCCTCAATGCAGGAGACCTGGGTTTGATCCCTGGGTTGGGAAGATCCCCTGAAGGAGGGCATGGCACCCACTCCAGTATTCTTGGAGAATTCCCCAAGGACAGAGGAGCCAGGTGGGCTGCAGTCAGTGGAGTCGCAAAGAGTCAGACATGACTGAAGCAACTAAGCACAGATGTCAGCTGTTCTTCTAAACTTGGTGGTCACAACTATGGGTAAAAATTATTTGAGACAACAGACATTTAACAAAAGAAATTCCCAAACAACATGGAAATTTAGCAATGGGGATATGATAGTTTGAAGACAGTAGAGTTCAACCTGAGGGTTCAAAGAAGGCTTCTTGGATATGACATACAAGTAGATAATAATGCACACGATAATTTTGAGAGGAGCAAGACCAGAGAACAGGAGCATCCTCAGGAAGAAGAGAGCTGTTCCCTAGTTTGTTTGTGAACAAAGAATTGAAATTTGAAAGGTGGATGCCAGAGACTAGAACATATGCTTTAATTTTCTCCATCAGGTTCCTGACAATGCTTTCTAGGTAAGAGATGACCTACACAATGGAATTAATGAAAATGAGCTCAAGGTCTCACCACTTACAATGTTTCCCCCCTCCCCAAAAAAAGATAGTTTTACCTTAAAGTAATAGACATTAGATTTGATGTCAGATGAGATGAATTAACAAGTTAAAATGTGCTGCAACTTGCAGTTTATGAGGCATTGTTGGTGCACATTATTACTTTTAAGTTACACTTAGACAGTTTTGATTTCTCCTCAGTAATTATCAGTTCTTTCTCAATTTAATCTAAACCTCATATTCCTTCCTAGGACTAAATTACAATTTACTTTTCTCTTTTTGTGAAAGCCAGGAGCCCCTGGACGATGCCATTGACAGTGGGACATCTAAGCTAGTTCAGCTTTTGCTTAGAAAATCCCCACCAGCTGCTCTGCCTGATGCTGAGTTAATTGCCTTCATTAGCTTTCTTACAATACCCTTCTTAATCAGTCCTTGTGAAGAGATCTGAAACTCACATTGTGGTTCCTTTCTGACCTTTAAAAAAAAAATCCATTCATTCTTTTTGCACGATGGTTCTTGAAGTCTAAAATGAAAGATATAAAAAGTAAGGGGCAAAAACTGGTTTTTTTTATTTTTTTCTGTATTCCTCCCCAAACTGTGACCCTTAACTTCAAGATAGGTTATTCTGACTTCCTAAATTACCAACAGCTAGAGCTTACTTTCTCTTTCTTTTCCCATGGCTCCCTTAGCCTTCTTTTCTAATGAATGGTTAATTAACATCAATACATATCCTTTCTGATGAAGCTTGCAGTTTTCACAGTTTGCAACCTGCTGCAATCTTCCTCATAAAGAGGCTAAAAGCTAAAAGTTTTTAGTTATAAAACTTTAAAACTTGTAGACTGGTGAAAGCGTAAAGACAATGTTATTTCAGTTTATTTTGTAGTATTTCATGTAGATCCAACTCTTGATGATATCTGGCAAGGCCATCTCTCTCATTCCCTTACAACCTGTTGACAATAACCTGTCATTCATGAAAAGTGAATAAATTGATTCAGAAGACTTGATTTTCATAAACCTGTCATCTTTGGTATTGACCAATAATGCTTTTTTTGTTCTGTGAGATTTATGTTAGTTGATTTAAAAAAATTATGTATTTCTGATTGTTCTGGGTCTTTGTTGTGCAGGCTGTTCTCTAGTTGCGGCAATCAGGGACTACTTTCTGGTTGTGGTGCGCACATGGGCTTCTCATTGGGGTGGCTTCTCGGTATGAGGCACGGACAGAGCACACGGGCTTCAGTAGTTGCATCTCCTAGGCTTGAGCAGAGGCTCAGTTGTGGCACATGGCAGGCTTAGTTGCTCAGGGGCATGTGGAATCTTCCAGATCAAGGATGGAACCTGTGCCTCCTGCATTGGCAGGGGGATTCCTTACTGCTGAGCCTCCAGTGAAGCCTGTTAGTTGGTATTTTTAAATTTATTTAAAATTTTCCTTACTCTGCTTCAACAATACTTAAATAATTATGTATAAATATTAATGTGTGTATGTTCTGAGTATGTATGTGTGTGCACAGTTTTCTAAATTTATTTTAGGTTGTACTGAAGTTATCAACTTCTGCTACCATCAAATGAGTATAAGGGGGAAAAAAACAGCAACAACAACTAGATGATGCTGTTTCCAACTAATAGAGGGAGAAAGAGAGGAAGAGTGAAATGAAGGAGAGATACCTGGAAGCATGCACTATTATTTTATCCATGAATAATTGTACTAGTGTTAATTTCATGTGATGGTTTGGCTTTATTGAAACATATCACCTTTTATTCCTCATTCTGTCACTTTCTAGACATGATGGAACTATTCACCGATGTAGCTCGTTAGAATCAGGTCTTCTTCCCCCTACTCGCAACCTGTCCCAGTGATCTTTAAAGAAAAAGTGTTATTTGATACAAATGCATTAACCTTCTGAAAGTTCTCTAGGGCAGAGGAGCTGAGGCTGTAACAGAGGTATAGGAAAGATAAGGTGTAGGATATCTCTTGTGGATCAGGTGGTGATGAATAAGTGTAGCATTCTGTGGGAAAAAAAGAGATATGAATTGTTATAAACATATAATGAAAAATAGAGTAACAATCTGGGTTTTATGGCTCTGATGTTTCACTATATACTGAGCCTACAACAAGTGTTAAATTCTCTGTACAGTTAAAAGCCACGATATTTATTCAGAGAGCTGATATATTTAAATAAAAAGTGATTATTTAAACTTTCAAATTTAAATCAGTATGCACCATTCACATATTTCTTCCAACATTTGCTTGGCATTCTAAAAGGACAAGTCAACTTAATTATGGACCCATGTAAGTAGGGGAAGAAACAAAGCAACAAAGAAGTCAAAGTCATTGAGGAAACAGCAGCTTCTGAGAGTTTGCATCATTATTATTATGGCATGTTATTCATCATTTATTGTGCATCAGGTTGGCCTACTCTGAATTGCAAATTAAATTTTCAAAACTAAGGACATGTACTTGGGAGCAGAGGGTTTTTTATGTAAAATAATATTGCTGTCATCCAAAAAATCACTTGTCCCTAAAGGAAACAAAAGTAAAATCTCTCTAAGAAAAATAATTAATTGTACTACTTAGCAGACTGAAATGAACATGCTATGTTAGCTTGTGTTTACTCTAAGCAGTGATTACACTCTTACCCTCTTTGCATGCCAGAACCTTAACTGCAATTGTCATTTAGGGTCCCCCTGGTTCAGTCATTAATAACTGTATTACAATAATACTTGGTAGAAACCTTCAATTTAGGGACTTAAAAATACTATATGCACCCTATGGATTGACGTTTCAGTATAGCTCGTTATACTATTATAGGGTAATATAATACAATAAGCAATATATAATATGAAATGTGTTTCTGATATTCTAATTTCTTGCTCAGTCTGAAATAGCTATAGGGCCTTGTATCTTGATTTCCCTTGTCTTTTCATCATGTTGGTTCTATTCAGTTTTTCCGTGTCTCCTACATTGTGCCCAGGCTGATTGCTAGTTTTATTCAGGATCCTTGTTATTAATTACAGAGAAACCTAAGCCTTGGCTTCAGCAATTGCTCAAAGTTCTGATCTCTTAAAAAAAATAATAATAATCCTTACCAGTTATTGATGAAAAGCATATTATTGTGCCTTCCATTGATTAGAGATTAGGGGTGATTTCTTTTTCTTTTTGTGAAACAGAAATTGTCTGGCTGTTTTAGAACATTTTTTGCTGTTGTATGTATGCAGCTGCTACCCTGCATACTTTATTCGACATCGCTTCTTTTTCATCTGCCTTCACACTCTTCCCCATGCTTGGCCCACGAGAGAGAGATGGTGTGGGATTTATCCACCTTGGGATTTATCCACTTTGCCTATTACAAGAAAAGTCAATTCCCAACTGAGTATGGACTAAACAAGATTTGTCACGAGCAGAGATATTGCATAGTATTTGAGGAACAACATGGAACAATTGCTTAATCTGTCCCTACAAGGATCTGTTTTCACACCCGCAGTTGTATAGGCTATGCATGCATCAAAGCTTAAGGAATTTTCCCTGCCAACTATCCTTCAGAGCCTGTTACTCTTATATGGGATGATTTATTTAGACTTGGTATCAGGTTTTTCAGCCCATGGTTTTTTTCTGGCTGTCAGATTACTTACTGTCAGAGCACCAACAGGAGCTTAAAGTTCATTGTTGTAGTTGGCACCTACTTAGAGTTAGACTAGTCACCTTTACCTACTGCTGTAAATAGACTCTTACAATGTCTGTGTTTAATTATGCAGAAAACTTTACTTATGTATAAATACCTCCTTCTTTGGTGATGTCCAGTAAGTGAGTTTCCTGTAATTAGTGTCAAATAATAAATCTTTTAAGTTATGTAGGATTTTGGTAAGAGTAACCTTTAGCAGATAAACTATACCCATTGTTGAAAATTAATATTAGCAACCAGATTTGCCCATATAGAAATACACCCAAGGAACTCCATGGCTGGTTTTAACAGTTGTTGTTTAAGTGAGATCCTGTAAGACCTGAAGTGGTGTTGCAATTATTTGAATACCAGGGAAAGCTGAGACTTACATTTGCTTCTCTACTTCCAGCTTCTGTGTGTCTTATTTCCCCTGGTTTGTTGCTGTTCAACATAACTATGAAGTCTTAACCATTCCAAGCATCTTTACTTGTTCTTCTGCTACCGAGGATCTACTCTGCCAAAAATATTTCCTTTGTTTTAAGGACTTTAATTAAATGGAATCTGGGTAGCTGGGGGATTATAGTAGGATCCCCTACAAGTCTAGTTCTATGGTTCACATCTTAAAATAATGAAATGTCCTGTCCTTGGAGAAACAGATAATTCTACAAATCAGATAGCTCAGCTCCATGAGGACATCTTTTAAGAAGTGTATGAATTACTCTGTGCCTCGTTCAGAGTTGTAGCCTGGGTTGTCCCACATTCCCAGCTATTGTTTCTGCTGTGACATGCATGACAGATGACATTCAGATGCTCAACACACTCCCATGGGCATACCCGGATTTTGACAGAACACAACAACATTTATAGTGAAGTCAGGTACAGAAATAATTTATAGTCAGCACAATTATTAAAGTGGTGTCAGTATATGTTGCTCCCTGTGGGCCCTTCAAAAGCCTGGATGTTAAGTATAAATAATTGATTTCACAGTAGCTGTGCCTTTACCCCCTTTTTATATCACACAGGAAAGAGAATAACATTTCAATGTGTAAGAATGACATAAAGATACAATTTTGAACTGTTCTAAATGCTTTATATTATTAGCTTTATTTCACAGACTTTGACATTCTATGATAAATAGCAAATTACTTGCTACCACATACTTCACAACCTGTGAAGTTGAATTACTATTGATTTGAAACCTGTGCTGGGGCTGAGAATTCAGTTTTGGCATTTATTCTAGAGGGTAACAAACTCTTGGCACCTCATTGAAGCTGTTAAAATTGAGATAATGATCTGACCTCACTGTGGATTAGATACTTTTTATTTATATATATTTACTTTTACTAAATATGTTAATAATTATACCTTATTCTTTGCTTCACATTGATATGCACATACACACATATACCTTCCGTTTTTCTTCTTAGAACCTCTGAAAGATATGCATAGTATGTATTCATCTGATTGATAGATAATGAAACATAAGACTACCGTGCTTCACATTAAATGACTTGCCTAAGCTCTGTCAATTCCCATTCCAATTTGAATACTCCCCAGAAGACACACTGCTAGCATGTGTGCTGTTGTCATTTACATTGCTGAAAAGTTTAGGAGAATTTTTAGATCGAAGTCATTAATACCTTTGCTTAATAATAATAAATAAAAAACTATTGAATTACTATGGTATTAAAAAAATAATTCATAATAGGTGATTGGACTAGAAGAAAGAAGCAAGCAAGAAGAAAAGAGATAGGAATGTTTCTATATGTAAAGAAAGTTAATAATTAAGAATCACAGGAATTACTCCTGGGGCCAGTTTTGACATTGATATTAATGGTCTAGATGAGGGCATTCACACTGAAATATCTCCTAAAAGCAGACTCTGATAAATTATTGACCTGACTCGCTTTGCTGACAGTTTCATCTTTCTTAAGGTAGAAGATGTTATAGCAGGGAATTGCTACTTTGGGCTTAATTTTAATCTCAAGGGAGAACTGGCTGAAGATGTGGTAAGGAAATCCACACCGAGGCTTTTTTTTTTTTTTCTTTTTTGTCAAGACAAGTCTCGTGGACAAGATGAAGGTAGAAGTTGGGTGATAGTACAGGAGATACATCAATCGCTTGTTAAATTCAGAATGTTAACTTATAAATTATCATCAATTTAGACATCTCAGAGGCCCAACCTTAACAAGGTATGGCCTTATTCAAGATTTTTATCAATGTTATTACTATGTCATAGAAGTAACTTATCAGTTGTAGATGATAATGTATCAGGAGGTGAATATAAATAATGCATAAATGAAAGAATTAAGACTTAAAACAATCCTGACAGGCTAAACTGCTGGGCCAAAACCACCATGATAAAGATTCATGTCTTGAAGATTTTTTTGTTGTTGCTGATGGAATTATAAATTTGTTCAGTCTTCCTAGAGGAAAATGTAGAGATATACAACCAAAGCTATAAAGTGTTTATGACTTTTAAACTGACTATTCAACCTGAGAGACTTGGTCTAAGGAAGTAATCAGGAAAACACTTAATGGCAGACAAGCAAAACCAACAAAAACATTAATAGTCAATTCATTAAACAAATGTTAATGAATTAGCACTACCATGTTGAAGTGCTAAGCAGTCATTAAAAATCATTAACATTATGTGGTAAATACTGCTTATTGACATGTAAATATGTTAATGATCAGTAGATAAAAAGGCCAGAGATGAAAATTATATAGTTAATTTTTATAAGATGAAGTTTATGTGTGTATAGACATAGAAATATGTGAAAACAAAAGTGTGTGGTGGGATATCTAGGAATATGTTATTGGTTTTTGTAGCTGATAATTTTAGAAATGAGATTTTCTTCTTTATGCTTACCTATGTCTTCTAATTTTGCATACCATATATGTATTTATTGTGTGATTGAAATATTATCCTAAAAATTTAAGATAGAGGTGACTTCCATTTCAAACAAACATTTTTCTGAGTTATTTGGAGAATAAATGTTACTACCAGAGTGATACAGCAACTAATATAAAGAGTATAATTAAATCATATAAATAACAATGAAGTTTTAATGGGGTTTGGTGGGAGACAAGTGTCACAGAGCTGTAAACCCACATGGTCCTGTGGTATTCCATTACAGAAGTCACATTTAAATGAGAACTGTAACAATGCACATAAGTCAAAGGAAGGGAACTTTTCATATAAAGAAAAAAAAATTAACTCAAAATGTTTAGCCATGGAATTGATAAACTGGGATCTGAAGAGGACAAGCCAGGCTAACTGTGCTTAGATACTTGAAGGATAACAGAATGAAAGAAATTCAAATCATCTGTGTGGAGCTTTGAATT